GGTGTCAGCTCTAGGGGAAAAGGCTTTCTCTCTCTGTCGGCTCGAGGGGAAGGTCCTTGCCTCCTTTTAACATCGGTGAGCCCAACATTCCTTGGAAATGTCCATGATTGATTGTCATCAGTCTTCTCCTGGGTCTAGGAGATTCTCAGTGCAGGGACCCCAGCTCCAGAGGACATGCTGTGCTCCCAGCTCTTCTTTCTTGGCAATAGTCAGGTCTCTCTTTCTCTGCTCACTTCTTTCTCCTTTTATCTCTTGTGAGATAAAGGTGATGCAGACCACACCCCAAGGAAGCTCTTCTTACACAGGATTAGGGCTGTGACTGAGTAAGGGTGTTACAGCCCACCTTATCCCTGTACAACTGATTGGCTAATCACATCAGATCATATCATGAGAATCAAGGCCCAGCCAAGTTCACACTTATTTTGGGGGACACGGTTCAATCCAGGACAGGAACCAAAATGAAAGTTTTTGCTTTATTGGGGGGGGGGGAAACTTTTGTTACTGAGAATCTTTTAATATTAAAAAATAAGGTGTTTTAAATACTGAATGGCTAGCTTATTGAGTATTTCCCAACTGTCTGGAGTGATGTAAGTTAACTCACTACTCTTATGTGTCACTTGGGCATTTAAACTTTAGGTCAGAGTTCGTAGGATAATCTTATGTGGTATAATTACCAACTATTATATGCAACACAGATTAAAAAGGTTTTTTCTTTTCCCCTTAACATTTACTCTGTGAACAATTTAATGTGGAAATAGGTTCTCACTGAACTATATTTGGTTTCAGTGGCTGCACAGAAGAATGAATATTAGTTCTAAGGAAATGCCAGAAGCAAGTGCTGATTCAGTTTTCTAGAAATAATTACGATTGTTTGATATACTTGAATAACTAGTATGAATTAGTAATGTGAACTCAAACATACTGATTTCACATTTTTTAATTAAAGCAATTTTTTAAATGGGATGGAAAAACACTAGCTTATTTTAGAAGCATTTTAAACTTGTCTTAAATGCCCTGTTCAGAGCTCTGACGTGGAAGTTGGATCCTGTTAGGCAAGCTTTTTGTGGGCGTATTAATTCACATTCTACCTGTCAGTGTACCTATAGGTAAAGACATTAAACCACACCCCGGGTTCTGACCTTCCCTCAGGGGACACTGACTGGAATTCTTTGGCTCAGTGTGACAGACTGTTTGAATAGCTCAGTTCAGAAGAGCTTTCCTTTTGAACTGAGTGAAGCAACAAGAACAAGGGCAATAATTCTGCAGCTACATTTCTCAAGACTGCTGCTATGGATATTTAAAACTTGACCTTCCCTGTCAGGTTCTGCTTGGAAGGTTTATTTATTAACAGATGTATTTAATATTGAAAGTCGTTTTATTGCTTAGCTAATTAGATCTTTATATTTTCTTTCTTCTCTTCTTCTAGGATTTAATTAATTATTCTGGTAGTAGAAAAGGATTTTTTTGTTTGTTTGCTTAGTTGACTTTGGTTTGGTTTTTGTTTTTTAATTTAGTTTTGTTTTTTGGATGAAGATTGATGGAGATCTAGATTTTTAGATTTGTGGGGATTTTTTTCTGGACCTCCCCACCTTCCTTTTATTGTTCAATTGTATGGATTAATTTTGTAATACTTATTTGATAGTACTAAAAAATAATTTTCATACTACTATGAAAAACTTATCTTGATAAACTAACAAGAACTTTTTAAATGTAGTGAGAAACTGATAAAGCAAATGAGGAAGATTGGAAACTACATCTTCTAGAATGGATTCTTACAAAACTTATTTAGCAGCTGTCAGACTCAGTGGCTCATGGTTGGAAGAACAAGATGAAGACATTTATGAGGTTGAATCTCGAGTCCCTTTACCTAATCCTTTTCCTCTTTGTGACCATTTGGATGAAAATAACTCCATAATTGTTAATACCTCTATTTTTCATTTTACTCATAAAAGAAATGGGCACATGTTAAAGCTTATTTCTAGAATTTCGCTCCCTACTCCTCCTTATTCAGTAAGTATGAAAAACATACTGATTTAGTTTCAAACCTATGTATGATGAGAAGGGAAGTTTTAAGTGGCTTTAGTAAGGTTCAACGCAGTAGAGTCTTGTTTCATTGTCCTGTGGCCTGCTGCTCCGCATTTGTCATGGATTTATTGAAGGGCTAAATTTGGTCTGAGAGCCACAACTTGGCTACGTTTTTAATTCAGGAAAGCAGAATGAGATAGTATTACAGTTCTTCAGTGCCAAGAAAGCTGTTTTAAAAGATCCTGCTTGTCTTCAAGGATCTTGCTTTTGTATGTTTATTATGCCGATCTTGAATAAAAATGGAATGATTATATTTGAGAAAATAGGCATTGTGGTGCCTAAGAAAAACAGCTAAGTGACTTGTGATCCAGCCAATTAGGAAACGTTTACAAGTGGATAGCACATTGCATGTAGCCCCAGAAAAGAAAAAGATTGTTTTTAATCTGCCTACTGATCCTATGAGGAAGTCTTTTTTGAGCTTTTTATGTGAAATGTATTCTATAAGCATTGTTAAGAGTGTTTAGCATAAAGAGGCTGCATACTTAGTATTTCAGGTTCAGCACTTACATATGCTGTGAGTGACTCACTACAGGTTATTCAGCACTTGTTATGACTTTCATTACTTTAACTATAATATATTAGCTAATATTTAACAAGCCAGATGGTTTTCAGAAGTTAGTTTTATTGTCTTTCCTATAACTTTTAAAGTGACAAAATATTTACTTATGTTTTACACATACTTAAAAAAAAAACTTGTGGTAAAATATATAAAACAAAAAACATTTCCATTTTTAACCATTTTAAGTGTACAATTCAGTGATATTAACTATTTCCCCATGTTGTATAACTATCACTACTGCCTAAGTTTTTGGAAATTTTTAATCCTCTCAAACAGAAACTCAATATTTACACATACTTCTAATATAATGATAATTGATAAGTTTCTTAAGTATTTTGAAAGTATTGAATATAAAATTTTGTATGTTTCGTAATAGTATACATATTGGGAATAAATCATACCCTAACTGAATGAAAAGATTTTTTAAGTATGAGGTATTTGATGAGCATTTGAAGAGGACCTCATATCCCAATAAAGTGTGGGTCCCATCCGTTATAAATGCAGTTAGTTGCTAGATTTTCTGTGTTTGTTAAAACTTATTTATTTTATAAAACTGAATTTGTTTCTTATAATTTTATAGTAAATATCATTTTAGTGCAATTTAAGGCTAGTTTAGATGTTACCAAGGAGTAGAATATAGAAGTAAAGACTTATTTAATATTCTTATCTAAAGCAAATAATTATTTTGTTGGTTCATACAGTAAATTTGAAAAAGAAAAAAAAAAAAAACACATCCTTTTGGGCATAGCTTTGAACTCTTTTAGAAGCTCGTGTGTTTACCAGGCAACCATTGTATAATTTACAGAAAAAAATTACATGTGTATATGTGAAGCAACTGATACATTTTTTAAATGTGGTTTTGGAGAGTAAAATCAGGAGAGTAGGTCTGTACAAATTAGTTCATTGCTTTATGGTCATGTTTCTTTATAGTAAAAAAGAATATATATTACTTATGTACATTTAAAGGAAAAACACCCTTTGCCAATCAAAGGTAAAAATATTTATAAAGTTTTACCTTAGGAAGTATTTCATGATTTAAAATTTACATTTATTTTTGTGTTATGACTTAAATGTGCTTTCATGTTATTTTCAAATAATAAAATGTGAATGATATTTAAAACAAGAATAAATACATACTGGATATTTTAGAAATTGATGTAGAGTAACCATAAAGAATGTTTGTAACTCTAAAATTCATTTGCTATGGCAAAAACCATTCAAATGAGAAGAGCAGAGGTCTTTTATTTAACAATAAAGTATTCTTAAATATCATAATTTTATAATACATTGACTATAAATTATACTGGCTATAAATTAGAAAGGAGTCTACATTTGATTCATATTTTAAGTTTAAAATGTGGTAATACTATCTTTTTAATGCACAAAACTTTATATATAAATTTTAAGATTCTTTCAATGTTGCTGTGAACCTGTTATTAATGTATATGATCATTGCTTTTTTAAATTTATACTGTTAATGATCTAGGACTATACTAGAAACATTTGAGCTCAAATTTTTCCCATGGAGTTTCTTCAGTGACAACAGCTAAGCTGGTACTGACAGTCAAAAGCCTAGAAAACTAGGGTGGAGTCAGCGCTTTTCTGGAATCTCCTAATTGAGAGCTTTAACCCCAAGTCTGTACTTTGTCACTTTAGAACTTATTTAAGAATGAAATCAGTATGTGCTAATAATGTTACTTTAAGGAGACTGTGGTTGGTTTGGTATTCTAAGATACTGAAAATAAATTGAGTGTTCATATAGTCTTGTACATGTTTTCAGATGGACAGAAATAGAAAGCTTTTCATTAAAACACATAGGTTATACATATAGTTTCTTTTTGTTATGCCACTATGATTTTGTATCGTTGATGCCATTGTATTAAATCATATATTGTTAATCCCCTGTGGTGTCAATACAGCAGACTCACTCTGTAGGCATCACAATAAAATACTTAATACAGAAAAATAAAATGTATCATAGAGCACAGAGTTACATAAACTGCTTTGGCAAATATGAACAGTCCTGTGCTTCATTAACTTTATGTCTCCCTTTATCTGGTAGAATGTGGATCTAGTGATTGAAAGAGGTTTACTTCCCAAAGAAGCCTATTGTTTTGTTCATTAAAACCAGAATGCACCTTTTAAGCAAAGTTGTACATAGCTGACGTACTTCTTTACTAGGATTTATTCTACTGCTGTTAGAATGCACTAGAAATATTTAAATAATTGCAATTCAGGAGTCTTAATTCAAAAATCTTAATTTTTAATCTTTTTATTTAGCTTTAATGAGCAATGACACTCTTATTCCCAGTGATTTAATTATCTTCCTTAATGTATGCTTTCTCTCCTTACTTAGCTTGAACATGCAAAAGTCACACAAACAGAGTTGATGCGTGAGTCATTTAGACAGAAACAAGAAGCGACAGAGTCCCTGAGGTGCCAAGAAGAACTGCGAGAGCGCCTTCATGAGGAGTCCAGAGCCCGGGAACAGCTGGCTGTGGAGCTCAGCAAGGCTGAGGGTAAGCACCTGACTGTCGGCAACTGAGACTGGAGAAATTTCAAATCTAGAAATAGAGATTTCGATTCACAGCCAGATTTGGAAACCACTGATTGAATTTAAAGTGACCACTGATGTATAGTTGTAGTTTATCTTCAGAGTTCTTCCAATATATAAAACTAAGTATTTTTTAAATTATTAAAAGAATTTAATAGAATCATAGAAAATAGTAAAAAATTCAGAAAATGTAGAAATGAATAATGGTGAGCTGTTACCATAATCCCATTATCTGAAAGCAGCTCACATGATTGATTTAAAGGTATGGATGGAAACTGAAGCTAAGAAATGTGAATAAATAAATTGTTCAGGTTCACCATGAAATAGTAAAGCTGGGGTTTAACTCTTAAAGCCCCATCCTGTGTGAGTTTTACCATGTTATAATGGGGTATTTGCCTTTTAGAATTACTTAAAATATCCACGTTCTCTACTGTATTTAAAATGTAATTCAGTTGACAAACATCTGAATTATAATCAGCCTTCCAGGAATCTATCTTTATGTCTGTTTAATGAAAAATGAGTTATATTTACATGATAGGATATTTACGCATAGCAAAGGAATACAAAGTTCAGAGAAATTTCATATTTAGTCACAGTGGTTAACAAGAAAAAGACTTCATGGAACATACCATATTAAAAGTTGATAGTTACTTGCAGGCAGCTTTCTGTTTTTGTTGTTGTGTGCCGTCGAGTCGCCCCGACTCATAGCGACCCCTCCTTCAGTTACCGAGGCAGTATCACTATGGAAGTAGATTGTCCAACCTTCCTTCTGAGGAGTGGCTGGTGGGTTTGAGCCGCCAGCCTTCTGGTTAGCGTCAAGTGCCAGAGCTCCTAAGCAGCCTTCTAAGGTACAACAAATAGTCTCCATGTGACTGGAGAAACGAAGGAAAAAGCTAAGAAATAACTGAAATAATGTACATTTTACAAAAAGGTTCCTCATAAACTAGCACCAGTGAGACCCAAACGAACCTGGATGCTGCCCGGCCAACACTTTGTTGATTAGAGGCTCTAACTGAATCATAATCAAGAGGGAGAGATACCAAAGAGGAAAATTAATAACAAACATCTTATTTTGATTTCAAGTTTTTGTTCCTCACCCATAGAACCAATTACTGACTAGAAAGATCCCTCACCCAAAATTAATCCTGTCAGTGGCTTTTTTCACCCAAAGTTGCTAATCTTTTCTTTCCTATTGGAAGCCAGTCTTATTTAATTTAAATTTCAGAGCATGTCATGGCTGCAGATGGGTGGTGATCCAAAGACCACCCTGTGACCTGTTACCAGTTGATACCAGGAAAAGGAGGAGGGCAGGGTTCAGTCAAATCATGTGAAGATTAGAGTATGGTTGATCTTTTATTTTTCTCCCTCTTCTTCTCTTTATAACCTTCACTGTAAACAACCTACTTTGAGCCATTTGCTTTTTTTTGAATCAGAGTGATTCCCTATATGCATATAGAGTAACAACTCAGAGTAAATGTTATATTTAAAAAAAAAAAAAGGAAGTAAGTTAATACTTGCTGCTATCATCAGCAGCAAATGTATTCTTGAGTTGTAATAGGTTGGAATGATTTAAAGTTTTGCTAACAATATACCAGTTACTGTTTATATTAAACTCTAATGGTAAAATTGGAAATAAGTTACAATCCAGTTCCCTGTTAATTGTATTTTATAGGTGTCATTGATGGCTATGCAGATGAAAGAACGCTTTTTGAAAAGCAGATTCAGGAAAAATCTGATGTAATAGATCGTCTTGAGCAGGAGTTGTTATGTGCAGGTAATAGATTACAAGAGTTGGAAGCAGAGCAACAGCAGATCCAAGAAGAAAGAGAATTACTGTGCAGACAGAAGGAGGCTATGAAAGCAGAGGCAGGCCCAGTTGAACAACGTATGTATTTTTCAGATTTTGTGTGAGACATTGTTCTAATTTTATTTATATTCTTTAAAAGTTCAAACTGGCTTTTTTTCCTTTTTCAGTACCATTATCATATGTTTTCTGTAAAAAAAAAACAAAAAAAAAAACCCGTTGCCATTGAGTCGATTCTGACTCATAACAACCCTATAAGGAGGGAGTTGAACTACCCTGTAGGGTTTCCAAGCTGTAAATCCTTACAGAAGGAGACTACCATGTCTTTCTCCTGCGGAGCAGCAGGTAGATTGAAACCACCAACCTGTTGGTTAGTGGGTAGCACTTTAAACACACTGTGTTACCAAGACTCCTTGTGTTTTATATAAAGATAGGAAAAAATTAAAAGAAAAGCTGACTTCTAGGCGATTGTCAGGGAGCTCTGGTAGCATAGTGGCTAAAGCACTTGACTGCTAACCAGAAGGCTCGCGGTTCAAACCCACCAGCCACTCCTCGGAAGGAAGGTTGGGCAATCCTACTTCCGTAGTGATACTGCCTCAGAAACCCAAGGAGGGGTCGCTATGAGTCGGGGCCGACTCGACGGCACATAACAACAACAACAACAACAGGCGATTGTCTTAGGAGCTGACCATGTAGAATCAGAATTTTTTTTTTTTCTTTCTCTTCGGTATATATTAGCAAGAAGAAGTCATTCTTCATTTATCCTCAAACCTCTGCCTCAAGAACAAGCTGCACATAATGAAGCAGGATATTTTTAAAATTGTGTAAAATTTGGTTCTTTTAATAGCAGAGAGGCAGCAAAGATGTATATTTAGATTAAATAACCAAGAGCAGTGACTTGGCACAAGCAGTGAGCAGATAGAGGTAGAATTCGACCTGCGAGTAGAAGAGATTGAAAAGGCTGCTAGAAGTCTTTAAGTGTTTAAACTTACAAACTACCTTTAATCTTTCCTTAACTGAGAAATAAGGTAACATCTTGAAGTTAAATTTGTCTAGAGGTAAAAATAAATGTTGGTCTTTGGAGTGATGGAACTTTAAATCCTATTTTTTCATGTCATCTCAGTTTTATATTATGTGGTACAATGGAATTATAAATGTATCACTTCACCAATTTCATTCTGTCTATTTAGAAATACAGTATTTTTGAAATACAATAAAGTTCTTCCTGGTTGCTAAATTAGTTCAACATAGGGGTTTAGAATTTTCAATGTGGAAAGAATACACATAAATATCCAAGAAATGTTGGAACTTCTCAGAGTACCAATGATAATAGTCATCTTCAACTTTTGCTTGTAATTCTTTTTCTTTTTTTGTGCATTATCCTATTTTAGGAAGTAGAAAACATATAAATTATCCTGTTTTGTTGTCTTTTGTTTTGTTTTTTCTTTTTCTATTCTCTTAGGACTAGTAGATGCTGCAGTCGATGCAGCACCTGGAGCAGGTGTGTTTATGCAAGTGCATGGCCAATCTTTGGGTGGTAGACTCACAACTCAAAATATTGGGTGTTCCTTGAATGTTCAACCAACTAACAAATCTCTAATTTTACAACTATGCTGTTGTGATTCATACTTAACTGTTTTTTTTTTTCTTTAACAAAACCTTTTCTTACTATAAAATTACATATTTTTACTTAAAATTAACAACTTAGATTCATAGTGACCATCATCTTATATCTGTTTTTGCACAAAGCTTAAGACTGTTTCAATTTTTTAAAGAATATGTTGGTTTATTAAACAGTTTTTCATTAACAGATATATTATTAAACTCTTGCAACCTATGACTTTTCACATGTTCTTTCTAATCAGGAAGTATATAAGATGATGGTATCAGGTGGATCAATGAAATCTGGTAAAATCTGGTAAAAGTCTTTCTGGTTGGTTTACTTTTTATTTTAAGCTCTTATATCAATATTGTTTTAAAAGGAATGCTGTTTTTGATAGCAAACAGTTCCATAGTTTTCTATAGAAGTATAAGAATTCTGAGTATAGTGAGTATTAGGACTCTTGGGAACATAGTCCTTTCATCTTCACTAGAGAATTGTTTTACTTTTGCTGTGTATACTTAATTATTGTATTATTATTAATAATAGTAATAGCTAAACTTATATAGTGCTTACCACACCCTAAGAACTATTCTTTATCTATATTAACTCATTTGATCATACATTAACTGTAAGAAATCAATACTATAATCCCATATAAGGAAACTGAAGAATAGCATGTTAAATAACACATAGGAGGTAAGTGGCAGAGCTAGAATTTGAACCCATAGTCTCTGCTTGTAAGCACTGTACTACACTGCCTCTCATACTCGTCAGATTTCCTTTACACATGTGTGTAAGCAAACAAGAACAACTCAGGAATATGGGTCTAGAAGGGAATGAAGCTAACAGGAGTTTGTGGTTGCAGTTGTGCTTCTTTTTCTATATCTCTTAATGGCCTTGTTTTTAAAGATTTACAGTATTTGATCTTCATGTGTGTTGTGTATGCATATAAAAGTGACTTGATTTGTCACTTTTGGAATGGGTTTGGAATGATTTTTGCCTTAAATAAAGAAAATGGTGAGTTTTTCTTGTTTTTGAACTTAGATTTTGTTCTTCCTAGTGAAAATGGATTTGTCATTTGCTCTACTGTTTTCACAAAAATGTTCTTAATAACAAGATATAGCCTTTTTGTTAATTCTTGACAATGTTATTGATACTACCTTGTTTCTTACGTAGAAATTTGTTAAGATATTTGATAGCTTCATAAGTTGGTGTTTACCTTATTTGTGTGTCTTTGAATTAAAACCCAGATCTTTTTACCTCTGAAAGAAAAAGTTGAACAGTTGTAGGTGATTTCCCTATCGTCACATCATTCATTGTAATTTAACTTAGTATGCTTTCACATTTGTAAACAGAATTACTACAGGAAACAGAAAAGCTAATGAAGGAAAAACTAGAAGTGCAGTGTCAAGCTGAAAAAGTACGTGATGACCTTCAGAAACAAGTGAAAGCTCTAGAAATAGATGTTGAGGAACAAGTCAGTAGGTTTATGGAGCTGGAGCAAGAAAAAAATGCTGAATTAATGGACTTAAGGCAGCAAAACCAAGCACTGGAAAAGCAGTTAGAAAAAATGAGAAAATTTTTAGATGTAAGTATTCTCTGTTTAAATATTCATTATCACAGTGGAATGCTACTTGCTACTATTCTCTAACTTTGTGAATTTTAAGTTATAAAGAAACCCATGAGTTCTGATATTTTCACTTCCTTGTGTATTTATTTTACCAGTTGTCTGAGAAGTACTATTCCAATAAGAAAACTTGATTATTTTTGTTGTACAACTATTAAGAATTCAAAGCCATACAGCCAAATTATGAATAAATCCTTCTAATTAGCCTTTTTAGATTTAGAGTTAAGATGCTAGTACTTTTCCTTCAAAAGATACAGACACAGGTATAAAATGTGCCCTGGAAAACGAGATTGGGGACAGTTGTCATTACTCCCCTCCAAAAATAAGTTAAATCTCTAATTTCACACAAATTTACTGTTTTAGAGTTTTACTGAAGCCTGATGTTCTCTTTACAGGTTGAGAATGAGATTGTTACATTTTATAATTTTAAGTGTAAAACGCACATCAGGATGGAAGAAATTGGTTTATGAAACAACTTGTTTCATGATTTAATTAGTTGATTAAGTTAACAGTGGAATTGCTCCTTTGTTTCCCCCCCCCAAAAAAAAGTGCTTTCCTAGAACAGTCAACTATCAGAGATCAGAAGAAGATCAGAAGGGTAGCATTTGCTCAGAGAGAAAGGTAGGGAGGCAAGAATGCATAGGCAAGAAGGACACAGGGAAAGGGTACAAGGAGGAAGTAGGAGGAGAGCTATTAACACTATGGGAAATGTAATCAGTGTCATAAAGCAAAATATGTGTAAATTGTACTTTGTAAAATTTCACCCAAATCACTGTAAAAAGTTTTTTTTTTTAAGTGCATTTTGCATTTTAAGGGGAATACTTTTTTTCATTCTATATTTCACATTATTTGAATAAAGAGCTGTTGTATTTCAAAGTATGCTTAAATGCTTCCGTTCTTGTTTGAGAGCCAAAATAGGCCATGTGTCATGCAAGAATGTTATCTTTCCAAACCTTCATGATTTAGGCTATTCTATCTTAGGTCCTTTGCCTTCAAAAAAAAAAAAAAAAAGATACCTATAATTAAACGGAAGTATGAGGGGAAAAATAGCTTCAATAAATATGTTTCTTCACTTACTATTATTTTTAAACTTCAGGAGCAAGCCATTGATCGAGAACATGAGAGAGATGTATTTCAACAGGAGATACAGAAACTAGAACAGCAGCTTAAAGTTATACCTCGATTTCAGCCTATCAGTGAACACCAGACTAGAGAGGTAAGAAATTTGTTGAGATTGCTTACAGTAATTTGTATCTCAGATATAAAATAAAATACATATAATAAGAAAATTTTAAATGAATTATTTCTGTTGTATATCCACTCCTCATTATGACATGGTTAGGTTCCAAAGACCAAGTTTTTCTGCGACAGTGGAGCATGTCCAACGTCAGATTACCAGTGTAGGATGACTACATCATTACATAACTGCCATATTTCATCATTACATGAGTGCTGAAATTATTATGTACTGATGCATAACCATCATGGCCAGTGTTGCTTTCACCTGATGTGTTAGCTTTCATTGCTGCCAGAATACATTATTAATGCACAAAAGTTTGGATAATGAGATTGTCGATAAGTAAGGAGTAGGTGTATATAAATCTTAAAATCAGAACATTAAATATTACTTCAACATGAGAACGTCCTTGAAACCGTAAAAATTAATATTTGTACTTAAGTTTGGACTGTGATCTATTGAATCATTCACATCTATATAACATGTTCTAGTATTGCCCAATAAACTTCCCTATTTCTATTACTGATAAAATTGATTGAAAGAACTGTCTACATTCTCTGTCTTTACTTCCCCATCTCCCATTCTCAGTCTACTCCTGTGAAGTTTCTAAACTGTCTATATGGACAGGGTTCATACCTCCACTTCGTTGAAACTAGTCTTAACAGAGGTTGCCCACAGTCTCCTGACTATATCCAAGAACCATCTCTGTCTTATTTGACCATTAATAAGCACTACAGCCACCTTCTTGAAACACTTCCCTTTTCGCATGTCACAGTGTCTTCTCTGTGGTCTTTGTTTCTCCTCTATCCAAAACATAAATGATGCAGGGCCCCAGGATTTAGTCCTGAGCCCCACTTCATTTAGTATCAGAATGTGAAACATGTTTGTATTTTCAGCTTTGACATTTCTATCGAGCTCCAGACTTCAATATTCAACTGCCTTCTCTACATAAAAGGAGTCCTGGTAGCACAGTTGTTAAACTCTTGGCTGCTAATGAAAAGTTTGTGGTTTTCACCCACTAGCCGCTCCACGGGTGAAAGATAAGACAGTCCATTCCATAAAGATTATAGCCATGGAAACTCTATGAGGCAGTTCTACCCTGTCCTATAGGGTTACTATGAGTCATAATTGACTCAGCAGCAGCAGATTTGGTTTGGATTGTACATATCATTTTAGAGTTCTCAAAATTAACATGTCTAATAGAGAGCTCTTATTGACTATGCAAAGGCATTTGATTGTGTGGATCATGACAAATTATGGATAACATTGAGAAGAATGGGAATCCCTGAGCACTTGATTGTACTCATGAGGAATCTGTACCTTGACCAGGAGGCTGTCGTTCGAACAGAACAAGGGGACACTACATGGTTTAAAATCAAGAAGGGAGTGCGTCAGGGTTGTATTCTTTCTCCACACTTATTCAATCTATATGCTGAGCAAATAATCTGAGAAGTCTGCAGTATGGATTACATCTCAACATAAAGAAAACAAAAATCCTCACAACTGGACCAATGAGCAGCATCACAATCAATGGAGAGAAGATTGAGGTTGTCAAGGAATTCACATTGCTTGGTTCTACAATCGATGCCAACGGAAGCAGCAGTCAGGACATTAGACATCGTGTAGCATTGGGAAAGTCAACTGCGAAGGAACTGTTTCAAGTGCTGAGGAGCAAGGATATCTCCTTGAGGACTAAGGTGCGCCTGACACAAGCCATGATATTTCCAATCACCTTGTATGCATGTGAGAGCTGGACAATGAATAGGGAAGACCGAAGAAGAGTTGATGCTTTTGAGTTGTGGTGCTGGCGAAGAATGCTGAAAGTACCATGGACTGCTAAAAGAACTAACAGATCTGTCCTGGAGGAAGTGCAGCTGGAATGCTCCTTGGAAGCAAGAATGGCCAGACTTCGTCTCACCTATTTTGGTCATGTTGTAAGAAGGGACCATTCCCTGGAGAAGGATGTCATGCTTGGTAGGGTGGAGGGTCGACGAAAGAGGGGGAGGCCTTCAACGAGATGGATTGATACAGTGGCTGCGATGATGGGCTTGAGTATAGCAGGGATTGTGGGGCTGGTGCGGGATCGGGCAGTGTTTTGTTCTGCTGTGCATAGGGTCGCTATGAGTCGGAAACAACTCGACGGCACTTAACAACAACAACAACAACAATAGAGAGCTCTTGACTCCCAGCTCTGACTCACCAAAGAGAGACAGGAGTGAAACATATTTCTTCTTCAACCTAGTATATTGTATACAATGTGTGCCTGCCTTGTTTCTAAAACACAGAATTCATCTTCTATTCCACTCTTTTCTCATTCCTTACTTCTAACCCATTAGTGGCTCTGGTTATACTATGTCTTTCTTTCTACCTTCAATCATTTGTTTAAATCCTAGCCATTATTAATGTTTGCAAAGACCATTGTGGTAACCTTCTAGCTTGCTTCTATTTATTTCACCCAGTCTGTCTGTTTTTCTCAGAAAGTAGAGAAACATAGTCAGAACTCCATATTATCAAATTAATTCTGTATGAAGGAGGGAAAATTCCATTTAAATATTACTAAAGGTAACTTACTTGTCTGTTAGTTTGTCATACTGTGGTGACTTGCATATTGCTGTGAGGCTGGAGGCTATGCCACCGGTATTTCAAATACCAACAGAGTCACCCGTGGTGGACAGGTTTCAGTGGAACTTCCAGATTAAGACATTCGGAAGAAGGAAGGTGCCATCCGCTTCTCAAAGCATTGGCCAGGGAAAACCTTATGAATAGCAGTGAAACACTGTCTGATATATTACTAGAAAACTTTAGGAATAGCCCTGAAACATTATCTGATATAGTGCCAGAAGATGAGCCCCTCAGGTAGGAAGGCACTCAGAATACAACTGGGGAAAGCTGCCTCCTCAAAGAGAGTTGACCTTAATGATGTGGATTAAGGAATGCTTTCAGGACCTCTATTTGCTGATGTGGCCTGACTGAAGATGAGAAGAAACAGCTGCAGACATCCATTAATAGTCTGAATGTGGAATGTACTAAGTATGAATCTACAAAAATTGGAAGTTGTCAGAAATGAAATGGAAAGTATAAACAATGATATCTTAGGCATTAGTAAGCTGAAATGGACTGGTTTTGGGCATTTTGAATCAGACAACCATATGATGTACTATGCTGGAAATGACAAATTGAGGAGGAATGGTATGGCATTCACTGTCACAAAGAATGTTTCCAGACCTATCTTGAAATACAATGCTGTGAGTGATAGGATAGTATCCATATGCTACAAGGAAGACGGTTAATACTGCTACTATTCAAATATACTCACCAACCACCAAAGCTAAAGGCGAAGAAATTCAAGATTTTTGCAGTCTGAAATTAACCAAACATGCAATCAAGATGTGTTGATTATCACTGGTGATTGGAATACAAAAGTTAGAAACAGAAGAATCACCAATAGTTGGAAAATATGGCCTTCATGATAGAAATGATGCCACAGATTACATGATAGAATTTTGCAAGAGCAATGAGTTACTCATTGCATGTACCTTTCTTCAACAACATAGACGGTAACTATACATGTGGACTTTGCCAGATGGAATACACAGGAATCAGATCGACTGCATCTGTGGATAGAGGCGATGGAAAAGCTCAGTATCATTAGCCAGAACAAGGCCAGGAGCTGACTGTGGAACAGACGATCAATTGCTCACATGCAAGTTCAAGCTGAAGCTGAAGACAATTAAAGAAGTCTACAAGAGCCAAAATATGACCTTGATTGTTTCCTACCGGAATTTAGAGACCATCTAAAGAATAGATTTGAGACATTGAATACCATTGACTGAAAGTGGGATGACATCAAGAACATCATACATGAAGAAAGCAAAAGGTCATTAAAAAGACAGGAAAAGAAGAAAAGACCAAAATGGATGTCAGAAGAGACTCTGAAACTTAAACAGAGAATAGCTAAAGCGAATGGGAGAAATGACAAGATAGAAGAGCTGAAAGAAGATTTAAAAGAGTAGCTCAAGAAGAGAAAGTGATTTATTATAATGAAATGTGCAAAGACCTGGAGTTACAAAATGAAAAGGGAAGAACATGCTCAGCTTTTCTCAAGCTGAAAGAGCTGAAGAAAAATTCAAGCCTCAAATTGCAATACTGAAAGATTCTACTGGCAAAATATCAAATAATGCAGGAAACATCAAAAGAAGATAGAAGGAATACACACAGCCACTGTACCAAAAGAATTGGATGATGTTCATCCATTTCAGGAGGTGGCATATGATCAAGAGCCAGTCATATTGAAAGAAGAAGTTGAAGCTTCAGTGAAGGAATTGGTAAAAAAAACACAGCTCCAGGAATTGACAGAATACCCACTGAGCTGTTTCAATAAATGGATGCTGTGTTGGAGGCACTCACTTGTCATTGCCAAGAAATTTGGAAGACAGCTACTTGGCCAGATGGCTGGAAAAGATCCAGTTTGTACCCATTTCAAAGAAAGACAATCCAACAGAATGTGGAAATTATCAAACAGCATCGTTAGTATCACATGCAAGTAAAATATTGCTGAAGATAATTCAAAAACAGTTGCAGCAGTATATTGACAGGGAACTTCCAGAAATGCAGGCTGGATTCAGCAGAGGACGTGGAACAAGGGATATTGCTGATATCAGACGGATCTTGGCTGAAAGCAAAGTATGCCAGAAAGATGTTTACTTGTGTTTTACTGACTATGCAAAAGCATTCGATTGGATAACATTGAATTACATGGATAACATTGAGAAGAATGGGAATTCCAGAACACTTAATTGTACTCATGAGGAACCTGTACATAGACCAGGAGGCATTTGTTTGAACAAAACAGGGGTTTACTGCATGGTTTAAAATCAAGAGGGGAGTGTGTCAGGGTTGTATCCTTTCACATTATTTATTCCGTCTGTATGCTGAGCAAATAATCTGAGAAGGTAGACTATATGAAGAAGCACCGGGCATCAGGATTGGGGAAAGACTCATTAACAACCTGCAGTATGCAGATGACACAACCATGCTTGCTGAAAGTGAAGATCACTTGAAGCATTTACTTATGAAGATTAAAAACTACATTCTGCAGTATGGATTATACCTCAAAGAAAACGAAAATCCTTACAACTGACCAATAAACAACATCAGGATAAATGGAAAAAAGATTGAAGTTGTTAAAGATTTCGTATTACTTGGATCCACAGTCAACACCAGTGTAACCAGCAGTCAGGAAATCAGACAAATCTGATGCAAAAGACTTCTTTAAAGTACTGAAGAGCAAAGATGTCTCTTTGAAGACTAAGGTTTGCCTAACCCAAGCCATGATATTTTCAGTTGCCTCTTACGCATTGTGAAAGCCGGACAGTGAATGAGAAAGACAGAAGAAAAGTTGATGTTTTTGAGTTGTGATATTGGCGAAGAATGCTGAAAGTACTACGGACTGCCAGAAGAACTAATATATGTGTCCTGGAGGAACTGCAACTGGAATGCTCCTTGGAAGCGAGAATGGCCAGACTTCGTCTCACCTACTTTGGTCATGTTGTCAGAAGGGACTATTCTCTGGAAAAGGATATCATGCTTGGTAAAGTGGAGAGTCAGCAAAAAAGGGGAAGGCCCTCAATGAGATGGATTGATATAGTGGCTGCAACGATGGGCTTAGGTATAGCAAGGATTGTGAGGCTGCACAGGACCAGGCAGTGTTTTGTCCTGTTGTACATGTGATCACTGTGATTTGGGGCCAACTCAACAGCATCTAACAACAACAAAGGTAAATTGTCATTGTAGTGAAGAGATTATGCTTAGAGTAAGACAGTGACAGTTTCAATCATGGCTGTGCTGTTTATTAAGTATGTGAAAGTGCCTAAGTCAACTTCTCTAAATCTGTTTATTTCTAAAATGAAGACGATAATAACACCTAACTCATAGGCATATTGACTTGGCATGTAGTGAGCACTTGATAAATGGTAACTATTTTATTTCTGAAAAGAAAATAAATAATATGTAGGAGTTCTGGTGGTATAGTGGTTAAGGAAGTTGACTGCTAACCAGAACATTGGTGGTTCAAACCCATCAGCTGCTCCACAGAAAAAAGATGAGGCTCTCTGCTTCTGAAAAGATTTACAGCCTTGGAAACCCAATGGGGATCACTATGAGTCAGAATTGACTCAATGGCAGTGTTTTTTTTTTCTTTTTTTTAATATATAAGTTGTTGTTGTTGTTATGTGCCGTCGAGTCGGATCCAACTCATAGCGACCCCTCCTTGGGTTTCCGAGGCAGTATCACTACGGAAGTAGATTACCCCATCTTCCTTCCGAGGAGTGGCTGGTGGGTTTGAACCGCCAGCCTTCTGGTTAGCAGTCAAGTGTTAATATATAAGTAGATAGATAAAATTTGTAGTTTTACTGTATTTCATTTCTCTTAAGATAATTCCAAAGATGTATTAAATGCCTCTGTAACTCACTGCAGTAAAATGTAATGTACATCCTTTTTGAATAGAAATAATCTGACCTAATACCCTTATCTCCTAGAGCAGTGGAAAAATTCTCAACACAGAGAGTTTGTAAATGTTGGCCTTATTCCTAACAAACATGTTTTCAGTTTTTTAAAACTAGCCTTTTGTTTGTTGAAACTCAGCAGAATATTTAAATTCTAGAATTTAGGATCATTATTCTCCTGTTATCTCTGCAGTTGTATTTTGAGTGCCTTGCAACCTCAGGGATTCATCTTCTGGCACTCTATAAGACAATATTTCAAGGCTGTTCATAATGTTTTCCAATGTACATCAGACAGTGTTTCACTGCTGTTCATACGGTTTTCACTGGCCAGTTTTTTGAGAAGTGGATGACCCTTCCTTGTTCCCAATATGTCTTAGTCTGGAAGCTCTGATGAAGCCTCCCCACCATGGGTGACCCTGCTGGTATTTGAAATACTGGTGGCATAGCCTCCAGCCTCACTGCAACACACAAGCCACCAAAGTATGACAAACTGTCAGACCAGTTGTGATCCTGTTATACAGCATTCTTACATTTGAAGGTTTGGCCCAATTCCTCAGCTTTTGATTTCTCTAGATCAAAAATAACTAATTCTAATAGTATATGTTGCCATCTTGTTGTGCCTACTTTGTTGTCTTTTCTTTTGACCTTATTCCAAATCTTAGTATACCCATTATTGTTAAAGTTTCTCCTCAGTAGTTTTATTGTTGTAATTTTTGAACTTAAAATTGTTATTAAACTTGCATTTATTTAACATTGTGAGGAATAATTGTCATTTTTAAATAATTTCCTCACGGTATCTCACTGAAATAAAGTAGAATTCTTGCTGTCATGTTTCTTTTTTATTATTATTTTTTCACTAAGCATGTTCACATAACTTCATCAGAACTAATTTCGTAAGCCATTTTATTAATCCTTCGCGCATTCTTCCATCACAGAGCCACTCATTTCAAGGGACTACCATGTCAGAATCATTTAGGGAAAGTCTTCAAGTGGCATCTACTCACACTAAACACTCCTAGATTCTCATCTCTATTCTGAACTGGAGGATTTGAGGTTGACTATATGAAAGCTCTCCTCCACTCCCATCCCTATAGCATTCAAAGCCTTGTATATATTGACTATAATCATTTATAGAATGAAAAATAAAATCCATGGTTTTCTAGATGATTTATCTCACATAAGAGTGTAACTCAGCACTCTACAAATTTGTCATTTCTATTAGGTCTTATTGTAATTATGCCATTAAACTTTATAATTCACCATTATTCAAAAATAAAATTTATTTTCTCCTAGCTAAAGAAAGTCATAAGAGAAAAAATTAAAAAAAAAAAAAAGGTTCAGGGAAAACAATGTTATTTTTCTTTTACTAGTGCTGCTTAGGAGCTCTGGGGATGTAGTGGTTAAGGCATTTGGCTGCTTAACCACAAGGTCGGTGGTTCAAACCCACCATCTGCTCCATGGAAGAAAGATGAGGCAGTCTCCTTCCATAAAGATGTATAGCCTTGGAAACCCAGTGGGGGTCAGTCTGAGTCAGAATCAACTCAGTGCCAATGAGTTAAGTTTGGTTTTGGTTTAATGCTGCTTAGTTTTATTGTTTCAGAAAGTATCACCTTAGTTGGGACAAATACATTGCTATCCTTACCAAAAATATAACTAGCATAGCATTTAAAAATGCTTTCTGAACTGAGGGTATGTGTCATGATTATTAGCTCACTGAAATATTTTTAAATTCCATTTTTTATGCTCGCTTTATTTCCAGGTTGAACAGTTAACAAATCATCTGAAAGAAAAAACAGACAAGTGCAGTGAACTTTTGCTGTCCAAAGAACAACTTCAGAGGGATATACAAGAGCGAAATGAAGAAATTGAGAAATTGGAGTTCAGAGTGAGGGAGCTGGAGCAAGCCTTACTCGTTAGTGCAGACACTTTTCAAAAGGTGTGACTTTTTTTTTTTCCAGTTAATTTTACCAGGTGTTTTAGTGTAAATTACTTTTAAAAGTTATTATTGACAACTTGTTGATATTATTACATAATGTATGCATCTTTATGTCCATTGACAGTACTATTTCTCTTTACGGTTCTTTCCAAATGTTGTTTACATATTTTAGTCCTGAGAAAGGAAGATGAGACCAAAAGAATTATTCATCCTTTTTACCATCAACTAAAATTGTGATTCAGAAATATTAGCTAAATGAAAAGGCTATGAACACCACTTTAGGATAATCCCTTACCCTAGACTAAGAAGTGATAGTATTCATTACCTTTTACTCTAGAAATCAAAAAGTGGATAAAAGAAGAGACCAATCAATATAAGGAAGCTGGGGAGAAGGGCACATGGAGGAATAACTTTTAATTTTATCTGAGGAATGAATCATGAGAATCTCAAACATTCCTATTCAAATTTGTATAAAATGCATTCTAGGCTAAATATCTGAAAGTTTTTGATTATTCACTAGTGTAAACTATCCTATTCAGAGAAGGGCTTCTTCTCTTAACTAAATTGCATAGTCAATATTTAATATCTCAAAATTTGACAGAACTCTTGTATATTTAAAGGTAGAGGATGGAAAACAGTGTGGAGCTATAGAAGGTAAAACAGAGTTGTCCCTAGAAGTGCAATTGCAAGCTGAGCGAGATGCCATAGACAGAAAGGAGAAAGAGGTAAGGAATTTATTTTTAAGTGCCAAAATTTGATTTGAATTATTTTAAATGAACTGCCTTTAAAATATTTCAACATAATGGAATTTGTGATTTAAGACCAAATGTAAAAAACAGTTACTTAGTTCATTGCCCTAAGTTGATCTTGAAGACAGTAAGCTTGAGAACAAGTAAACCAGCTGCTAACAGCTTAATTTCTTGAATTAAGTATCTTATCACTGTCTACCTTTTACTCAGAATCCTGGTTATTTAGAAATACAAGAGACTTTAAAGAGGATCTATTAACAACTCCCAGTTTTTGCAGACATGGAGACAGGGTCAGAGATAGGGAGTAAGTAAGTGGTTAAAATGACAGCTGGCCCTCCTCCTCTAGTTTTTAGTAACAGTGGCAAGTGCTCTGCCAGAACCCACTCACTCTCTTGGAACTCAATCCATGGAGACTGGGAGGTAGGAAAGTAGAATTAGTATGTATGTTTTTTAATGAAAATAATTCCTTAAGTATCCTCTTCTGCACTGGACATTTTCAGATGTCTGATAAAGTCTGAAAATAGTATGTCCATGTGTGTCACTGTATATTTGAGATATTTTCCAGCACTCCATAGCCTAAGTTTTATAAAATGTTGTGTTTTTTTTATGAAGTTCATTAGGATATTTAGAAATGCAGGATTAGTTAAAAAAAGAAGAAAACATTATAGGAGTTGCAGAATGCTAAGAGAAAGGGAATAATGTGGAAAGAAATAGAAAAGGAAAACAAAAATGCCCTCAGCTGATTTTGGTTCTCTATAGTGGTAACGAGAGCTGGCTTATAGATGTTGTTGTTGTTGTTAAGTGCCGTCGAGTCGTTTCCGACTCATAGCGACCCCATGCACAGCAGAACGAAACACTGCC